TGAGGCTGTGCGAGAGAGGGAGAAGTGACTGTGTAAGAGAGAGAGATGAGACTGTGTGAGAGAGAGAGATGAGACAGTGTGACAGAGAGTGAGTGTGCTGCTATAGAGAGGGAGTGCGCTGAGTGAGAGAGAGAGTTAGTGCGTTGAGTGAGAGAGAATGAGTGTTCTGCTTCAGAGAGGGAGTGCGGTGCATGAGAGAGCGGGAGTGCGCTGTGTGTGAGAGAACAAAAAGTTTTTCTGTACTAATTTCTATATTTATTCACTAGAAAAAAAAACAAGCCTGCTAATTGGCTCGCGGACATACTGAAAGTCGAGCCTGCTGATTGGCTCTCTAGTACCCTCCAAGATCGTCCGCACCTGTTCAAAAAAAAAAAAAAAAAAAAAAAAAGGGGATCAAGCCTTCCAACATATATATATATATATACACTCATACACAGAGAGAGAGAGGGAGAGAAGGGGGAGAGCGATCCCTCTCGACGGGAGCGGACACAATGGGGTTTCTGCTTAGTGCTCTGATGGATAAAGCGAAGAGATTCAACTGAGCGAGGGTAAATGGCTGGAGTAACTATGACTCTCTCAAGGTAGCCAAATGTCTGTCATCTAAATAGTGATGCGTATGAATGGATTAACGGGAACTCCCACTGCCCATATTCAGCCAACCTGCAAAGCCACAGCAACTAGTGGGACGGAGATCAGAGTTGGACTTCGGTGGTATGAGACTGTGGTACTTACTGGATTGGAGGCTTGGAGATTGTTGGGGCTGATACTTGACGACAACCGTTCAGACACCGATTACATTTGGACTCTGTATCACCGACATTGGTGACTTATGGTCCTCGACATTTTGATCTGGTTGGAGGACATTTTGGACTACTATATCGGCGATCTATCCGACCCTATCTCGGTGACTTTCGGTGTTATCTACCCCCCCCCACCTCTTCGTCTCTCCTCCCCTATTCATGTGTATGTGTGAACGGAACTGACCGCCTTCTATGTATGGCTCAGGCCCCACCATCTCAGGATTGTATGTGTGTGGAGTGATACTATGCGAGACAGTCTGTGTGAGTCAGTCTATGTGAGTCAGTCCGTTTCCCAGACTTCTCCATTGAAGCTGTAACCGAGACAGTCTGTGTGAGTCAGTCTATGTGAGTCAGTCCGTTTCCCAGACTTCTCCATTGAAGCTGTAACTGTGCTGAATTACGAGCAGTCTGTTAAACTTCTGAAATTACCGGTTGACTGATGAATTCTACTTCCGTGTGAACCCGCAGAAACAGGGTGCATGATACTGCGCCCCTCAACATTAATCCCCTGCCGATCGTTGAGGACCTCGGAAGCGGGCGCGGCGAAGTGACAGGCGCCGTGGCCCATGGCTTTGACGAACGGTAGGCGCCCCTCCCCGGGTTTCCCCACAACGTGCCTCAATGTCCTCACGCTGTGTGAGGAGCTTAGAAAGTGTAAGTATCCAGTGAAAGTCGTGGTTGCTGGCCTGCGGTGGATGCAGCGCCGGGAAAAATCACCCTTCTGGGTGGGGTTGCTGAACATTGTAAAACGACTGTTCCTTGGATAAATAGGCTACATGGACAGGGTTCCTGATGCCAGGTCGGGCCTCCTTACTGTGTCAACACGTAACTGGGCAGGTACCGCGACGAATACAAGGTAGGGTCTGAAGGCGTTTTTATCGCAAAAGTAATACGGCGGCAAGATGGGTGAGTGTGCTGCCTGTTATTGCTGCTGCACATACCAGGGCATGTACCAGGTCGGAGAGAAGGTTTTGTTCATAGCACGTTTTGAAGATGGACATTACATTTTTTCAAATTTTGGAAGTCTGCAGATTCGGCACTCAGCCAGACAGCGATGCCTGCTGGCCTACTTCTACATATCTCTTATTTCTGTAAAAGCTACGGATCCGGGATATCTTCTGTGTGGATAGCAGTTTTGGCCGCCAGAGTAAGGACGGCCTGGGCGCACCACAGGGTTGACGTATTTTGAGGATATTGGCCTCAACTTGAAGGTCTAAACCGGGACGAAGAGTGGAGTATTCCTGCAGGACCAGCACTCCCTTTTTTTACCAAATACATTTTGTAGCAGAAGTAAGTGCAGTGGCCTGTGCCGTCTGATGCTGCTTCGGGTCTGAGGTCGAAGGCTTTTATTATTGTGAAGAGTTGTTTGGCCGCCATGGTAAGGACGGCCTCTGCGCAACACAGGGTTGACGTTGTAGAGCCAAGTGGACCCGGACGTTGTGCCCACGCGACACCTCCGCCTGTGCCCCTATCTCCTCGTCCACTGCTCCTGGCATTCCCCCCTCCACTGCATCCGCTCCTCCAGCTGCTCCTGCTGCTGCAGCCACAAGCCCATCCAGTGCAGCTGCTCCTCCAGCTGCTCCTTCCGCTGCTCCTCCAGCTCCTCCCGCCTGCCCCTCCACTGCATCTGCTCCCCCTGGCGCTGGTGCCTCCTCCGCCAACACTGAAGCTGCCATCTCCTGTAGCAATGAAGTCGCTGTTGTTACAGCTATCTGGTCCACCACACCTGCAATCGTCGTGTCCGCCAATCCCCCCTCCACTGCCATCTCCCCCTCCACTGCTGCTGCCGACGGTCCTCCCTCCTCCTGCAAGACCCCCGGAGAAGGTGATCGTAACCTCAGTTGTCGGACTGCCCCGCCTCTGTGGAGTAGTCCACGCTGAGGCAAAGAGGACGCCAACTCCTCCGTGTCCTCTGCTACTGTGGTCGACTCATATGGCGCGACGGGCGATGGCGGTGCACAACTCGGAGCAGAAGGTGGCGGCATGAACGACTTCTGCCTCGTCGGAGCGGGGCTCGTCCCCCGCGCTCCTGCGTCGCCCGTCGAAGCGACCTCCCCGAACGGTCCCCACAACTCCTCCTCTCCCCCCATCATCTCCCTCTCCGCCCTGTCAACGTCCCGTCGTGCAGTATGCATCCTGGTGTCCTCTTCGGGATCCAGGTGCGTCTCGTCGATCTCACGGGGAATGCGGAGCGCGGGGTCATCCGCTGCCTCGGGTACCGGCTCCTCGTCAGAATCATCCTCCCTGGTGTAAGGACGGAAAATGGAAGGACGTCTACCGAATACGGCCTCAGCGGCGGGTGGTGCGGAGACCCCGATGGGATCCCGGGTGATAAGCGCAACCTGACGGGCAATCTCCTCCGGCGTCATCCCCCTGCGCGTGCCCGTGCACACTGGCTCCAACTCCAGTCCGGCCTGGCAGTCTAGCATGCCCTCGTCCCGCTGCCATGGCAGCACATAACCGCACCCAGCCCGTCGTTACTCCGACAACCGCACATTCGCGGTGATCTCAACGAGCTGAACGACCTTCTCAAAGGCCAACTGGTTGCGCTTCTTCGTGTGAATGCCTTCGTGGACTGCCCAGTTCCTCTCCGTTGGAGAGGCGCAAGACCACATGTGCATCACACGAAGAGCGCAGCGCTGCAACTCAGGCGCGCCAGACCCGTACTGAGACCACCAGGACGCGCACTCAATCGTCTCCYTGTCGCCRMTGCAAGCACGCCCACGAGCAMGCCCCTCCCCCCCTCCCCAATCCCCAAATGTGCCCTGCTGCATGTGGAAGTCCTCAAACTGCCGACATGCAWTGATGTACTCCACACCATCCTCCTCGTAACCCGTCTGCGTCAAAATGTACCTCTTGGCTTGCCTTACAAGCCAACGAGGGTAATCCCTCACCTCGCCCGAAAAGTACTCAACATGTCGCCTGCGGGGGTTCAGTAAGAGCCCCGCGCAGTGAGCAGGCTCCAGCATGTGCTGTGTGCGAGCCTGCACACGCCTGATGATGCGGTCAGCGAAAACCCTCCCCAAAGGAGCGCATGCATCAGTGACACAGCGGACAAGATCCTGTGTCCACTCGATCATGAGGGACATGTACTGCCCCCCACGATCCATCCGCCTAAGCAGCTCCATGACGGGCTGCATGATGTGGACTATGGTGGCCATCGTGTGCCACCAAGGCTCCCATCTTATCTGTCGGCGCACCCAACGCGCCATGTCGCACACATTGGCGGACCACGGTATAGAAGCAAACTCTCGTCCGTCATCCCCTCGCATCATCGCCTGCAGAGCGTCTTGCAGGGCCAACAGTCTGTCCAACATAGAATAAACAGACGCGAACCGCGTCTCGCAAGAAAGCACAAGCCCCTTGTTGCGCTTCCTAAAGAAATAAAGGGCGGTCTGGTGGGTTATGAAAAACACCACCAGAACACGAGCGCGTGTAATCGCGTCCACAAACGCGTCGCAACTCGTCCCCATGTCTGACAACAATTTGTTGCAGACATGGACAGAACACGGAAGCCAAGTGATCCTCCTGATTGCAGGAGGGATGCCCGGCGAGGCCAATGCCCTCGCAACCCCCACGTACGCCGATGCGGAGTCTGTGCATATCGCATTGACCCGCTGCGGGCCGCCGAAACTAAACTCGTGGAAGATGGTCACCCATCTCCGAAGGACGTGCACTGCATCGTCCGGCTCGCCCTCGCGATTGATCGTCGTGTAGACGACGACCCCTCGCGAGCCGGCGGCAAGGAAATTCACGATCGGTCTCCCGTCTCGTGATTTCCTCCCGTCGGAGAGGAGGGTGGCACCAGTGATCCACAATGGCTGCCTCACCTCCTCCAACTCCTCCGCCAGCTCCTCATGGTGGGTCTCCACCGCCTGCATACTCGCAATCTCGCTGTGGCTGGGAGACACAGTGCACGGGGAACTGCCACGCTGTTGAAGAAGGACCTGCTGGTATGCCTTCCAAGCCTGGTTGGGGAAGGCATTGAAGGGGACCCCGCTGGAATAGAGCCAGCAAAGGAATGTCTTCTTGTGGCGAGCAACCCACTCGCCACCGTAGACGTTAGTGACCTTTTCCTGGCGAAGCCTCTTCCCACCTGGGGCGGCGGCCGGATCTGTTCCACTTTCCTTCCTCTTGGAAGAACCCTCCCCTACAGGTCCCTTGGCTGCTCGCCTAAAAAAATCCTCCATCCTCTCCCAAGTGCCTGGATAAACCTCAGGCACGTCCTCGTGTCCCGGGACTCCCTGCTCGCCCGGGACACGCGCCTCGCGATCGACGTCGATCTCGCCCTCCTCCGTGTCTCCACCTCCACCATCTCCCCCGACCCCTCCTAACGCTCCCTCCACGGGCTGCCGCCCCGCCTCTCCTCCCCTCACACCACCCGTGCCAGGCACATCGACTCCGCGCTCCGCCGCGTACCTGGCAACCCTCTCCATTTGATCGCTCTCGAACTTTTGTTGACTCCGTCGCGCGATCTCGTACAAAGCCTCGTCGCTGACGTCCTTGCAGTAGTTCGTCCGTGTGAAATGCCTCGTCGCCTGGAATTGGCTCCCCTGAAATACTTTGTTGCAAAAAGTGCAACGCAGCATCATGACCCCCTTGTTGTCGACCTTCTGGCCGACAACCAGGTAACGGCACACAGGGGAGCGGCCCCTAAATGTGTCCTGCACATGGTCAAGGGCAGGCCCATGCTGACGCCGCTGTGACCTCCCCATGACGGCTGCCCTCGCCGCCTCGCGAGT